TTATTTTTAATACAATTTTAATGTAATTCCTCAAAAAAATGTAATTATTCTTAAAGTTTTATTGAAAATCAAAGAAATTCAATTATTTTAAAAATCTTTGATACAAATTATTTATTAGAATTTAAGTATTATTTTCAATACATTTTTAATTAAATTTCTTCAAAGAATTAAATTATTTTCAACAAATTTTAATGAAATTCTTTGTAACAATTCAATTTTTTTTCAAAATAATTTTTAAAAAATTCTTCGTAAAAATTTAATTAATTTCAAAAATTTGTCAAAATTCAATTATTTTCAATGTCTAATATTTCAATAAAATTTCACAAAAGAATTCAATTATTTAAAAGGAAATTTTAATAAAATTCGTCTCAAGAATTCAATTATTTTCAAAAGTAATATAATTCTTTACAAAAATGCAATTGAGGCCTTGGATCCAATAACTCGCCCGACGCTCGAAGGCACGCGCTAATACCAGTCGGGTAGCAGTGAGTGGCCCAGAGGCGCTGACTGCTCACTGACTGGCAGTTGCGCGTTCCTCCGAGCGTCGGGCGAGTTATGGGATCCAAGGCCTCAATTATGTTCAAAAATTTACAAAAAATATCGTCAAAATTTCAATTATCTTTATAAATAATAAAATTTTTCCGTGAAATTCCATTATTTTTAAAAATTTTAATTAAATTCTTAAAAGAATTTCAATTTTTTTTAAATACCTACAATTTTCATCAAATTTCTCGAATAATGAAATTATTCTTAAAAATTCTATTAAAATTTGTCAAGAGAATTCAATTATTTTCAAAAATAATATTATTCTTTGCAGAAATTCAATGTATGTTAAAAAATTAACAAAAAATCTCGTCAAAATTTCAATTATTTTTAATTATATAAATAATAAAATTTTTCTGTGAAATTCAATTATTTTCAAAAATTTTAATAAAATTCTTAACAGAATTTCAATTTTTTTTAGTACAATTTTCATTAAATTTCTCGAATAATGAAATTATTCTTAAAAATTCTATTAAAATTTGTCAAGAGAATTCAATTATTTTCAAAAGTAATATAACTCTTTGCAGAAATTTAATTATGTTCAAAAATTTACAAAAAATCTCGTCAAAATTTCAATTATCTTTATACATAACAAAATTTTTCTGGGAAATTCCATTATTTTCAGAAATTTCGATTAAATTCTTGAAAGAATTTCAATTTTTTTTAATACAATTTTCATCAAATTTCTCGAATAATGAAATTATTCTTAAAAATTCTATTAAAATTTGTCAAGAGAATTCAATTATTTAAAAATTTGTTAATAAAATTCTTTATGAGAATTAAATTTTCAGAAACATTCAGTTATTCAATAAATTATTTACTTTTGTATTTAAATAATGGAATTCTCGTAGAATTTTCTGATAAAAATTGATTTAAAAATGAATTTCAGTTACAATTTTAGATTATAATTGAATTTTTGAAATATGTAATTGAATTTTGAAATCAATGTCGTTTTAAAAGTTTAATTGATTTTCTTTTATATTATTTGAAGATTTTATTTTCTAATATGCATTTAAAGAATTTAAAAATAATTGAAATTGAATGTTGTAAACAAATGGATTTGATAATTGACAAATTACTTTTTCGAAAATTATTAAAAATAATAATTTTATATAACGAAGAATATTATATATTATAATATTTGTGCAATGAAAATATTTTTTTTCAGTGATTCTAGAAGCAAAAGGTAAACACCAAAATTTTGTACCGACATTCAGTTATTATTTCTAATTAAAACAAAGAGAGGCAATTTATTTGTTAATTAAAATGGAAGATTTGGATAAAATAATACTAATTAAATTACTATCGAATAATAATAATTAACCTATTATCAAATAATAATAATTAACCTATTATCAAACAATAATTACACAATTATCAAATAATAATAATTGAATAATTATCAAGTTAATAATAATTAAACTATTATTAAATAATAATAATAATTGAACTATTATCAAATAATAATAATAATAATTCAATTACTATTAAATAAAAGTAATTTAGCTACATTTATTTAAATCAAATACTAATTTCGCTACATCTATAAATCAAATAATCCTTAATTAGATATCATTCTACAATAAATAATTATTTATATACGGACATGAATCTCTATATTATATTAAAGCAAATATTAGACAATAATTTGGCCACTATTTGCCTGTGCTATGACTGTTGATCGATTACGTCCCAAGGGCTGGCTTTAACTTAAAGTTCCAGTCAATCACCATCGATCCCAAGACACGTGTAAGTGAACTGAAGTGAACAAGACAGTATAATATAATAATTTATTCAATTATCAAGACAAATGACCCAAATAGTGTGTATGGCTTATTGAAAAGAGCAAGAAAAACTTTATCCAACAACTAAGGCGCACTCGAAGTCAAAAGTCTTTTTTTTACCTACAAATAAAAAAAAAACTAAACTTCTATTCTTTTTCTGTATTGTTTTTTAATACAGTTCGTAAATAAAATCCCCCCGCCAAATAAAAATAACAATAAAAATATAATAAAGACAATCCATAATAGAAATTATAAATACTTCCGTACTTCTGTCACTCACAGTGTGATAATACAACAAAATTTATTATTAACCCGAAAAAATACAATTCGAATAAAATATCTCTTTAATAGTACTTGTATTGTATATTATTGAATAAAAGAAAATGAATACAATTCCATTAGTTGAAATTGAATAAGAGAATTATGTCTGTGAAAATTGTCAATATATAATATTAAGTGGATATTTGTTTTTCTCTTATATATATATTTTTTAATAAAATGGAAAAGTTAATCAAATCGATAATTTTATGAAAAAAATGGGCAAATTATACTGGCTAATATTATACGTCTTGGAACATGAAGATTGATTACAAGCTTGTTTCCAGAGCCCTTCGATCTGAGTTTCTAAGCCGTAATCAATTGCGTGTTAGTGTCTTAATTAATGCAATTATATAGTCAGGACAATTTAGTTGTCTATATAAATATTAAATTTTTTTTTTTACTTTTTTATCACGAAAAACGAAAATATTATTTTGAAGAGAATTTTTCTATTCCCCTAATTATCAAATTATGATTTGTTTTCATTTCATTTAACAATTTATTTCGCTTATTTAATAACATTAATAATTTTATTACTAATTATTATTATTATTATTATTATTAATTTATTTTATTACTAATTTTTATTTAATAACATTTCCAATCAATTTTTATTTCTTAATTATTGAATTGTAATTTTTGTCCACTTAATTTCTTATTTTATTATTTATTATTATTTATTTTCTTCATTATTGGTTTATTATTTTTAATATTCCTAGTGTCTTTAAATATTTTTTTTCTAATTTTTTAATTCATTGTTAACTATTAATTAGAGAATATTAATTTTAACTAAAGTATAAAAAGTTTTTCAAATAAAATAATAAAATAATTATATTAATATTAAGAAAAAAATAAAATAAAATAAATAAAATAAAAAGTTTTTGAAATAAAATAATAAAATAATTATATTAATATTAAGAAAAAAATAATAAAAACAAATTTTTTCGAATTATCAATTCATAAAAAAAAAATTTCTCCCCAAAAAATTAAATTTTACTAATAAATAATAATTTCTACTAATTCATTAGTAAATTTTACTAATTAATAATAATTTCTACTAATTTATTAGTAAATTTTACTAATAAACAGTAATTTCTACTAATTTATTAGTAAATTTTTCTAATTCAAAATTAGAGAATGCATAATATAAAATATTTTGTAATTTTGTAATATATTTTGTTAATAAATTTTTGGAGTTAGAAAAAGTTTTGAAATTAAGAAAATATTTTTTTTTCAATTTAAGTAAATTTTTTCTTCGACTATTTTTAAATATAAACTCGAAAAATATTTAAGAAAATATTCACTCTATAGGACTGAAATTTTGTTATTAATTATTATTTTTAATATTATAGTCTTTATATTTTTTTTCTCTTATTTATTATTGTTTTTCTTATCTATTACACAGGGAAAAATCTCCCATTTATTTTATTTGTTATTTTAAATTTAATGTTCTTTTCTCATTATTTTATTCCTTATTTTATTCATTTTATTTTTCATTATAATCAGTATTTTATTATTCAAAATATTTTCTCTTTTATTTAATATTGTATTCATTACTTTCCTTGAGATTTTTTTTCTCCTTTTCTTTTATTTATTATATTACTCATTAGTTTATTTTTCTTCATATTATTTTCTATATTTTTTTTTATTAATTTTCCGTCTATTTTTCTATTCTATTATTTTGTTTATTACTTCTATTCATCTATTAAATTCCTTTTTTCAATTAACAAAAAAATTATTTTCTCTTCAGAATCTGATTTAATTTTCCCTTATTTTTGCTATTTAAAATTTTTTATTTGATTTTGTTATTTAAATTTAAATTTCCAATTTTTGACACTGGAATAAAAAGTGTGGGAGGAATTATCATACGAACAAATTCTCGCTAGTGTAAAATAAAAAAATATTCCCTCCTCCAATTAACAAAAAAATGTTTTTAAAAAATTATTTTCTCCTCACTGACAATTATTTTTTTCCCCTAAAAAAATATAAAAGAAAAACGGATACTTCGTTAGTGAATGAATGAATGGGAGAAAAAAAATATATTTTCCGTTAATTAAATTTCTCAGTTTTCAATTTTTTTTCCATCTTTTTTTCTTTTAACGACAGAACGGATAAGAACTGAGGAAATTAGTTAAATCCACGAAAGAGTTAACGAAAGCGCAAAAATTAGTAATTAAGTAAAGTATATAAAAAAAAGAAAAAGAAAAAATTGTACTTGCTTTAAGGTGCTGGGAGGAATAGGACGCAGGATGTCAAGTGGCGACAAGGCCAATCCAAGCCTAACGATCGACCGTGCCGCCTTTTTGCTTCTGCTGGTGAAGAGAGCTTTCAAAAAGAAGAAGCAGCAACGCAAGGAAAACAGGTGAGTTTCCTCATTTTCGTTGACGTTTGTTTATTTTTTTTTCCTTTTCTTCTTTCCTTCTCCAAAAAAAATGGGACGTTGACTTTTCAAGTGGGAGGAAACTTTTTTTTCTCATATTATATAGAAACACACTATTAAATCCAAATAGTTGCTCTTTTAGTTGCTTTCTTCAAGAAATCTATAACAGAACAGAGTAAATATAACTTAGAAACTGGTAGGAGAAGTTTATCTTGAAAATTGCATGTCACCTGTTATAACGTCACTTTTCTCAAAAATGTCACACACTCGAAGTGTACATTTGAAAAATAGTTAAAAGTTTGCGACAAAAAAAGAGCAAATAACAAACAAAGAAAATTTGATACAATTTTTTTTTGTAATGTAATTTTTGTCTAAGATCAAATATTTTTAGAAAATTATTTATTTATTTATTTATTACAAGTTTTAATTATTTATTATAAGATAATTATTTATTATAAGTTATTCAGTAGTGTAAATAAATAATTTCGCAAAAAATAATAATTTTGTCTGCAAAACAAAATATAAAGACAAAAAAAATAGAAACAAATATAAATAACTTTTTATTTCTATATTTATTTTAATAGGTAGATAAAAATGTAAATAAAAAGTATTTATCTAGACAGAAATTAAATTTTTCAGAAAAATAAAACAATTAAAAATGAGACTAAAAAATTATTTTCTACAAGACTTTTTACTAAATTTTTCCTGCTAAACAAACTAAAAATACGATTCTTCCTCTATGAGGAAGCAAAACAGAAATAAAAACAAATAAAAGCCAATAAAAACAAATAAAAGCCAATAAAAACAAATAAAAATAACTAAAAACAATTAAAAATAAATAAAAATGAGTAAAATTAAATAAGAATAAAAAAAACTAAAATAAATATAGAAATAAAAAGTATTTATTTAAACAAAAATTAAATTTTTCAGAAATAAAATAGTAAGAGACTGAAAAATCACTTTTTATAAAAGTTTTTATTCAGACAAAATTTGTTCTGCAAAAAAAAATAAATAAAATTAAAAAAAAAACAGAAATAAAAACAAATACAATTAAATAAAGACAAAAATACAAAAAAAATACAATTCTTCCTCTACGAGGAAGCAAAACAGAAATAAAAACAAATAAAATGAATGAAAATAAATAAAAACATATAAAAACAAATAACAGCCAAAAAAAAGCAAATAAAAATAAATAAAAATGAGTAAAATAATTAATAAAAATAATTAAAAAAATAATTAAAAAATTTAAATAAATATAGAAATAAAGAGTATTTATTTAAACAAAAATTAAATTGTTCAGAAATAAAACAATGAAGAATCAAACTAAAAATCTATTTTCTACAAAAGTTTTTATTTAGACAAAATTTGTTTTGCAAAAAAAAATAAAAAAACAAATAAAAACAAATAAACAAATGCATTTCAATACAATTAAATAAAGACAAAAATACAAAAAAAAATACAATTCTTTCTCTATAAGGAAGCAAAACAGAAATAAAAACAAATAAAATAAATGAATAGAAATAAAAACATATAAAAATAAATTAAATTAAATAAAGACAAAAAATACTAAAATAAATATAGAAATAAAACGAATTTATTTAAACAAAAATTAAATTTTTCAGAAATAAAACAGTGAAGAATGAGACTGAAAAATTACTTTTTACAAAAGTTTTTATTTAGACAAGATTTGTTCTGCAAAAAAAAAAAAAATAAATAAATAAATAAACAGAAATAAAAACAAGTAAAAACATATAAAAATAAATAAAATCAAATAAAGACAAATAAAAATAAAAAAATAAAATAAATATAGAAATAAAAAGTATTTATTCAAACAAAAATTAAATTTTTCAGAAATAAAACAGTGAAGAATAAAAAACTAAAAATCAAGTTTCAACAAAAGATTTTTTCCTCATTCACTTATTTCTTTGTTTCTTAAATAATAAATTTGCAACATTTGTCAGAGAAAGTTTCTTTGCACATGAAATGAATGCACAAAGTTTATGCCTGATTATAAGTGGATTGGTTACTGAAACCCTTCAATTCACTCTCCACACATTGATAAACTAGACGTGATGAAAATGTATTTATAGTCAGTGATGTGTTATTTTGAACCTCCTCATTTATTACGAATCTTCATTCAAGCCTGATTGGCAATTACTCATTGAATATTGATAAAATTCTTTTTATATTAATGGTCCAAAAAAAATGAAAAAAAAAATAATTCTAAATAAATTTTTTTCAAAAACAAAATTAATTCAAAAAAATTTATTTCTCAATTTATTAATTCATTGTTTAATCAGTGACAGAATAGTTTAAAAATATTAAAGTATATTAATCAGATAATATTGAATATTAATTTTAACTAAAATATAAAAAAATTTCAAACATATTTATTTTTTTCTTTCATTTAAAAATTGAGAAAATATTTTTTTTAATTTAAGTAAATTTTTTCTACGAATATTTTTAAATATAAAATTGAAAAATATTCAAGAATGCAATCTACTCTGGAGTAATGTAAACAAAAGTAAATAATAAGAATGAAAGCACTCTATAAGACTGAAATTTTGTTATTATATGATACACACACGTGAAACTGATTTTAGCTTCATGCAAAATTAGCTAAAGTTTTGTAATTGAGATATTATAATTTTCGGTCGTGACTTGACTTAAGAGTAAAAGCACACGAAACACACTCGAGCACTTTCATTTCTGACGGGATTTATATTTTGAAAAGTTGAAAATAATGAGAAAACTTTGTTACCGATTTTTTTCTCATATCATAAAAAAAAAAACAAAAAATATTCGATTATAGAAAAAATCGAAAAGAAAATTTACTGATGTAAAATTATAAATAAATAAATTAATAAATTGAATAAATAAATAAATGTTATAATTTTCCAAATTCGTAAATATTTAAAAAAAATAAACCAAAAAACGTTTTTCTTTATTATAGCTTTAAAATAAATTACTGATTAAATTAAAAATTGCTAATTATTCTTAATCATTCTTAAAGTCTTGACAAAAAATAGACAGAGGTTTTAAAAGCGATTAATTCTAAAAGTTCCTCTCAGTTCCTCTCTAAAAGTGACTATAACAAAAAAAGAAAATAAACTTTATTGGAGAAAAATAAGAAATGTAAGGGAAAAAAACAAATAAATGATTTTTTGGTTTTTAGAAAACAAAAGAATTTGTTTTCTAAAAGTATAAATAAGTGCAGACAGAAATATCATTATTTCTCCTGTCGCAACTTGAACTTTTTTTTATTTCTCACGTAAATCTGTCCAAGTTTTTAAGTAAAGTAAATTATGTTCACAATATTTTACGAGACTTTAAAAATAGTTTGTCGCATGAAAAGACTGTCGTTAATGGAATCGTTAGCTTTTTTTATGAACCATAATTCAATACTCATTTTATATATATATATATATATATATATATATACATATATATATATATGTACATACATATATTTCAAAATTTATCTTAAAAACATTTTTCAAAATATAATTTTCAAATATTTTTTTCATATTCACAATATTTTAAATATTTGTTCAAAATTTTCCATATTTGAAATATTTTTTCAATATTTACAATATTTTAAAAACTTTTTTCAATATTTACAATTTTTCAATATTTACAATTTTTCAATATTTTTAATATTTTTTCAATATTTACAGCATTTTAAATATTTACAATATTTTAAAATAATTTAAACACTTTAAAACATATTTTAAATAATTACAATATTTTCAAACACTTTTTAATTTTTTTGAATGTTTTTTCTTATAAGAAACAAACTCTCGAATAATAAACACCTCTAATTACAAAACAACGAGAATAATAGTCAAAACACAAAAATCAACAAAAACTTGGAAAAAATAATTAACTTAACTTTAATTACATAATTGGACACTTTTCTTCTTTTTTTTCTTCTTCTTCTTCTTCTTCATCTTCTTTTCCAGAGGGGAAAAAAAAGATTTAAAATACCCGATTTAAAAAGACGGTAAATGAAGTTAAATTGACACTCACTATCGTGTTCAGTGAAAATGAAAGGTGTGCGAAAGACAAAAGGAAAAGAAAATGTAGACACCCTTTGAGAATTACGTTCTATTACAGTGTAACTTCGTTGAAAACAAGTCCACCTTTCCATGCATCTTAATCTGGTAACTTTTTTCTACCCTTTTTGTATTCACGTCAAAGTACAAATTAATTTAAAATAATAAAAAATTATGGCTCAACGTTGCTCTTGGAATTAAATGTCATGTCCAAAATTTATAGATTAATTCGCGACTTGAGGGAAGAGTTTGAAACAAAAAAATTTTATACAAAAACCACCATGGTGTTTTCTAGAATTACTTTCAAAATTACAAATTACTGCATTTATAATTTTCTTGTTTATAAATTTTATTTATAATTTATTTAATTTTTATTTTTTTATAAATTTTATTTATAATTTATTTAATTTTTATTGTTTATAAATTTTTTGTTTTATTGTTGTTTATTACAATAAAACTGACAAAAAAGTAGAATTATATTATTAATAATTAATATGAAACAGAAACAGAAAACAAAATTTTATCAATTCAATTTAATTGACTTAAATAAAAATTATTTGAAATTTCGAATAAATATTTATATAATAAACAATCGTTTATTTGAAACAAATAAATTTTCTATTCAGTAAAATTTAGGTATTTGATTTAAATAACCATTTATTAAATGAATAAATTTTCAAATAGACAAGTAATATTTGAATCAATAATTAAATTTTTTCCCGAAAATAATAAAAAAAAGTAATAAAAAAATCATTATTAAAAAAAAATTTTTTTCTAAGTGAATAACAAGAAATAAGTAAAAAAAAATTTTTTTAATTTAATAAAAGAATAGAATAAATAAAAGATTAATAATCAAAGATAATTTGTCAAAAATTGAAAATATCTACGAAATGAAGATCAAGTTATTTAATATTTCAGAATTTAATAATTCAAAGTTAGTGACATAAGTAGTCACATAAAAAAAGTTTTCTTCAGTTCTCAATGACAAATGAGAAAACGACTTGTTTCTCTCTCAAAACAATAGTAAACGTTAATTATAGCTCGAAAATATGTTTTTTTATTACAAAAATAATATTTAATGCGTCAATACTTTCTTGTCGAGTGT